TGAAGCTATTTTTACTCGTAATGGGACTACCAATCTTCATATACACACGTTTGGTCCCTTGGGAATCCTCACGCGGTAGTCCAGATATACAACATCGTTTTCTTTAAACGTGTGGGCAGGTATTGTCAATGAACGTTTAATTGGACTATTCATTTTGCCAGATCGGTTGGATGGTCACCAGTATTTGGAATTTCTTCCGAATTATTTGCAGGTCCTTCTTGAAGATGTGCCATTCGCGGTCTAGCACGGATATGGTTTTCTGCACGATGGGACACCTACGCATTTGCGTTTAGAAGTTTGTGATTTTTTGAATGGACCAATTGCATGGCCTCCACGGTCTCCCAATCTAAATCCTCTGGACTTCTTTTTATGGGGACACTTGACAAACGAGGTATACCGTACTCCAGTTCAGAATATTGACGAATTTCGTGACCGAATCACAGTGGCTGCCGATAATTTGAGCCTTCAGGCACAGCAGGAAGGAGGTGTATTTGAATTAGTGCGTCGAAATTGGATTAGACGCGCCCAAGTTTGCATTGCAGTCGATGGAAACAATTTTGAACAGCTTTTATAAGTAAGTGAACTGTTAAACTGTATTATTTTATTATCTCGATTTCTGTCGGAGTTTTATTAATTTTTTTTTTGAGAAATCGACTTCTTTCGTAGCATATGTCGTTAAAACTTTTCGGGTAAGCTGTGAAACACCCTGTATAAAAAGCCCATTAGTAAAACATTTATTAAAACGCTGTCAAGTAGATTGACTGTGCACTTCTGGCGCAATTCTGAACAAATGGCTATGCAATATGTAATTCAATTTTTGCATGTTCTGTTACCTTTATCACTAGACGGCTATAAAAATCTTATATACAAAAGTTGTATGGTAAAACATACATTTTCTTGGGAAATATCTTTATTATATTCCCCGCGGTCATACAAAATACAATTTATAGTGGGACACACTGTAGGTACCTGACAAAAGACTGTAGAGTAGAATGAGTATCAACAAAAAACAGTAATGTTGATTTAAAAAAATGAGATTATTGATTTTGAATAACATGCATGAAGTCGCGCGTTCACTATCTTTACTATTTGCCAGTAATGGAAATCCTTTTAAATTCATTTCTTTTTGTTAAAGCAAGTGGTTCTGACTATACATGGCGCATACTATCTGAATAACTTTCGTACTCCCTGATATCGTTACGCGTCGTTGACGACGCTGCGACTGGGGTACCGAATCGAACCCTTTGCAATATGTGTGATATTATGTCTAGCACAGGTGGGAAACTACTACCAGGTTCGCACATTTCTAAATATCAAACGCCTCTCACTGATACCAACGATGTAACAGTCCCCCATAACCCCCAATGATCAAGACCCTGTGAAACGTCGACACCAAAGATTGACCGATTTTTATTTTTTCGTTTTCTGTCCCTCGACCGACTTCAAAAGCTTTTCCGTTCTTAGCATAGTAGGTATCCTTGCGGTATAATTTCATTAAGAGACTAGACCAAAGCAGATAAGTGACAGTTTTTCATGTGTACATGTCATATAACATCAAAAAGCATAACACAACCTAACTTCCGAAATTTTACGCGATTGGAATATTCCTCGCCAACGGAGTGGAAAGTAAAAGCATTTATCTCACACCGTTAATCAAGTCAGCGAGTATTGAATTTTATTCTATCTTCTATTTCTGCCTCAAACCTTTCCATCCTCTGTTACCATCATTCCTAAAATTTAAACTGAGTTATTCGTTGTATTATTTGTTTGTTCTAATCCGATTTCTATGTTTGGTGGGTCTGTAGAAATACTCATACATATTGTTTTATTCACATTCATATTTAGTTTCAGTTTGACATTTCTGAGTTCCTCGTTCCATAGCTCAAGGTTATGTTGTAGGTCTTCTTTTTGTTTGGTAACAGTACTAGGTCATCTGCAAACACCAGTTGGTTAATATTTACCCTCTCCATATCATAGTATCACCACGTTGTTTTCTTGAATCTATTTCCGCATTCTTTTATAATTTTATCTATTAGTGGTGTTGGCTCAATCCCTCCTTGTCTCACTCTTGATGTAGTTGTAAATTTTTCAGATTTTTTAATCTTACATAGTTGTCGTATTCTTTTATAGGCTTTGTATGTTTTCTATTAGATTTTTGTTCACATTATAGCTGTTCAGTATACTCCAGAGGTCCATTCTATCCACTGAATCGAATGTTTTTGATATATTGTTTCGCTATTATCTACTACTCTTTCTATGAGTTGTTTTATTATAAATATTGCATCCATTGTTCCTCTCCCTTTCCTGAATCCATGTTGTGCTTCGTCCAGGTTGTGCTCTATTTCCCCCTTTAGTCTTTCGGTTAGTATGCGCTTATAAACCTTTTCGGGTATACTTAATACAGAAATTCCTCTAAAGTTTTCCCATACCTTTGTATCTCCCTTTTTAAATAATGGTAGTTTCATTGATAACTCCCAGTCTTTCGGTATTTCGTTCTCTTCCGCTACTTTATTCAACAGTTCTAAAAATCCTATTTTTCCTATGTCTCCAAATACTTTATCATCTCTGCTGTTATTCCGTCGTGTCCAGGGGCTTTCCATGATTTAAGTTTCTTTACGTCACTTTCTAATTTTTCCTCGGTAATAGGATCTGTTACAATGTCTCTATTTGCCCTAATTTCTTGTATTAACTCATCCCTTACGTGACTTTTCGTTTTTTTTCCCCTCCTAATAACTCGAAAAATATTCCCTCCAACTTTCCATGATTTTTTCGTCTTGTGTTAGTAGTTATCCGTTCTTATCTTTGATATAGTTCACTTCATTGTTATTTTTTCGTCTTATATTTTCCAATAGTCTCTACAATAGCTTTGGACTCCCATTAGAGTTTTCCTCTACTTTTTTATGCGAATTTTTGCCATGAGCTCCTTTTAGCATTTACCACCGTCTGCTTTACCCTTTTCCGATGTTTTCTGTATTCGTCGTATGATTTAACGGTTTGTTCTGCTATGTATATTTTCCACGTATTTTTTTTTCATTTTTACTGCACCTTTTATATCCTCTGTCAACCACGCGGTTTGCTTTCTAAGGTTGTTCTCTATCCTTGTGCCACACACCTCTTCTGCGCTTCAGGCTAAGGGGCCATTCGTTTTGTCTGGTCGGAGGCCAGATATTGGATGTCGGTTTAATTTAGGTTGGGTATTATTAAAACACGGCCAATGAGAGCGCAAAATGCAAAAATACCACGACGAGCAAAGAATATCGCTTAGATAGATTTCATTTCGTACAACGAATGACATTAGTATACAGGTCACATAAAGGAAGCGAAATTAGGATTCAGGCTCACAGTTGGCTATTAGTCAAAAGGCTTTGTGAACGTATTGAGATAACGTAAATCGATATCCGCAAACAACGGTTTTTACGCATCTCACGGGCAACGATGTACCTACTGCAGAAGCACCGTCTGTTAATTTTTTTTGTACCATTGTTGTATGGTTCGTAAATCTCAATGACTGGTTCTGTTCAGTTCTTGAAATATGTGATTTAATGAAACTTTTGAAAAAAGTGATGATGAGTATTTGCTCATTAAAACACTCAGTGACATTAGAAACCCAGAAAAAATAATTTCTTCAACTTGTTTTTTTGCACAACGTTTTGTCTTTGTTATGCGTGTGTGTGTGTGTGGATAGAAGAAGGTAGAGGAACACGAGGAAGGCCAACTGATCAACCGCGGCGTACCACATAGCGTTAAGATAGGCGCTTCAGACAACTAGCCCTAGGAGACCGTTGTGCTACTACGTGTCAGATCGCTGACTAATGGTTTGGAGAACCAGGTAGACCTGTTGCTTTGGACTTTTTTCATACCATCCACGGTT